AATTACAGGGTTACTCAGTAAAATCGGAAAACCATATATCGTAAATTGTTCATTTGCAAAATATCAGTTCCTCATATCGAACTGGACTGTTCGTGTTGCCAAACATCAATCGATTGTCGCTATTCATGCGTTTCATACAAATCCAATTGTTTTCTAGCTCTTCCTTTCTTGATCTTCTCCCTCATCTTCCGCTGCCAGACATTACGTTGACGCTCACGTCATATACTACTTATAAGTAGCTCACACCACACCCATCCCCCTTTTTAATAAGCTGTCGTCGTAGTCTTTCTCATCGTCGTACCGCTGTCTTCTTTGGTGCTTTTCGTGACTCATACACTGGATAATCTTGAAACCATCTTTGCAGTTGACTAGCATTTACGCGCTTCTGCTTGTCTTCTCTCCGGATCGTGTACACCGCGCCACGTCTCTTCGTGATAACGTACGGTCCGTCCCACTTTGGGATCAGCTTTCCCCACCCTGATCCCCCTGCTATGTTACTTTTTTGTTCTCTACACTTTACTAGGTCCCCCACTGCAAAAGGTTTCCACGTTCTCCTCTGTTGTTCCGCCTTCCTTATGTCTGATACTTGCTTCTTTCCTACGTTCCTGATTGCCTCCCTCCTCTCTTTTCTTAACCTTGTTGTTGTCCATTTCTGTTGTTGTGGCCAGGTCTTATTGTGCAATGGAATTCGCGGTTGTCTGCCATACACGAGCGAGAAGGGTGATTTCTATGTTGTTCCTTGTATGGAGGAACTATGCGTCAACAAAATCAATGGTAACTCTTTCTCCCAATCTCCTCCTTTAGATGCTAACCATTCAATTAACATCCGGTTGTTTCTCTCTGTAAGCCCGTTTGTCTGAGGATGATACGGTGTAGTTCGTATCCTCTTGATGCCAAACTGTTTTAGACGGTCTTTAAACTCGTCACTTTCAAAACAGAGACCCTGGTCCGTTAATATCATTTTCGGTATTCCGTGGCACGCTACAATATGCCGGATCACCACTTTGGTCACTTTTTTTGCCCGCTGGTCTGCATTGGGTACGGCATCTATCCAACGTGTAGCATGCTCCGTCATCACTAGCAGGTACCGGTTACCGGTCGCCGTCTGTGGAAACGGTCCCATTATATCCACCGACCATAGATCACCGACTGCGGTTACTGGGATCGACTGTAATGGCGGTTGTGTGTATCTATCGCTTTTCATTAGTTGACACTGCTGGCAAGTTAACACGTATTGAGCCACATCGTCTCTCATGCCCGGCCAGTATGCACTTTGTCGTAATAAATCCGTCGTTCTTGCGATGCCTGTATGTGCTACCTGGTGACACTCGTGTATCATCTTACGCCGCCAGTCTTTCGGGATTACAGCCACCCAATTCTTGTCATCGTCCTGCCAGGTCAGGACTCCATATGCGTTCATTTTCAGTCGTTCCTTTTGCCTAAGTAACATTATTACCTCCTTGTCCGTCGTTCGTTTGTCTACGTCTTCTCCTTCTTTTATCACTCTGATTACCTCTCGAAGGTTCGGGTCAGCTTTCTGTTGCCGGATGAGTTCTAATGGGTCTCCATCTAAACTATTCACCGCGTATGCTGTCACTGGAAGGTCATATTTCATGTCTGATCTTGACAAGTAATCAGCCATTACGTTTTCTTTTCCTGGAACATGGCCGATACTGAAGTCGTATTCTTGCAGACGTATCACCCACCGCGCCAATTTCCCTCGGGGATCTCTTGCTGTTCTCAACCACTGCAGGGGTTTATGGTCAGTCTCAATGTGAAATCGTCTACCTAAAAGGTACGGTCTCCATTTTCCTACTGCCCACACGATTGCTAGGCTCTCCTTTTCGACCGTTGAATACTTCTGCTCGGCGGGTGTGAGAACGCGACTTGCGCATTCCACCACTCTATCAGTCTGACTCAATACCGCACCTATATCATGATCACTTGCATCTGTGGCCACTGTAAACAGTTTCCCGGGTTCAGGCAGTCGCAGCGTCATCTGACGATCGTCCAGCATGTTTTTGATTTGGTTGAACGTTTCTTCGGCAGACTCAGTCCATGTAAACTTGGCGTCGATCAGCAACTTCAATAAGGGCGCTGCTATTTCGTTGAAATTCTTGACAAACCGACTATAGAACGCCGCTCTTCCCAGGAACTGTCTCAACTTCCTTTTCGAATTAGGTACTGCAATATTTTTTAAGGTAAGAATTTTCTCTGGTAATGGCTTTATTTCTCCATTTCCCACTTTATGTCCCAACAATATGACGCTGTTTTTCGCTATCTGCAACTTTCCTTTATTAATTCGAAGCCCAAATTCGTCAATTCGCTTTAAGACCGCTTCCACATGCTTGACGTGATCTGTTTCCGTCAGGCTGTATACAACTACATCGTCGCCATATACCTCCACATTATCTAGATTCTTAAGCAGCAGCGTCATCAATCTTCTGAACGTGAACGGTGCACCCGCCAACCCGAACGGCATTCGTTTAAATTGATACTGTTTATCCCGTATAGTAAATGCTGTCTTGTTGCGATCGCTATCTTTTATAGGTAGTTGCCAATAACCTGACTGTAAATTCAGCACTGTATACACCGTGGTATTCTGTAGCCGATCTAATGCTTCTACTACTGCTAGCATTGCGCACGGTTTCAGGTCTGTTATATTATTCAGTTCTCCAAAGTCGACGCAAAATCTATATTTTCCATTGTGTTTCTTTACCAAGAGTACCGGTGAGCTATACGGGCTCTCTGCTTCCTCAATTACACCTCCCTTCAACATTTACTGGACCTGTCGATTTACCTCGGCCTCTAAATGCACCGGGACACGACGTGTTGCAAATATATTTACTTGGTCGTTCTTTGTAGGAATTTCATACTTTACTTTGTCACAAAATCCATACAGCTACCCGTCTCCAGTGAACAATTCCGCATACTTTGCGCACAACTCGTTAATGTTTGGTTTCTTGGTCGAGACGTCCGTTGCCACTCTTATTTCAGCCACTTCGCTACTTTTGTGTATTGGCAATAAACCGTACTTTGTGACCATTTTACCGCTTCTCAAGTCAATTATCGTTTTTACCTGTCTTAGGAAATCTGCTACTAATATCGGTCTCGATAAGCTTGTGGTTACCACGAACGGAAAATTTATCTCAGCTCCACTCATTTTTACAATACTGTTAGATACCCCCAACACCTCTAGCATATGCCCTCCTATGGTGTGAACAGCTAATGTACATGGTTTGATTGTCTTACATTGCTCTTTGCCTATTAACGATATAGCTGCCCCTGTATCGATCAAACACACTAACTCCTGTTCATTTATGTACACTCTGGCATAAATTGCCCCTCTATCTACTAGTGTGTGGAAAGAACACACGTTATGTTTAAAATATCTTCGTCGTCATCTTCTTGGACAGTTTATCTTCCAATGTCCTGCCTCTCCATAAGCGTTTGATTTATCGTTCCTTTTATGATTCACTCGTAATGCTGATATTTCAAGCTCCAACTGCTCAATCTCCTTCTCAATAGTATTTATCTCCTGCTTTTCGCACCCGACCGGAGCTACTGTTCGTGTCATCAGCTGACGAGTCACCTTCGCCAGTTCACCGACGTCCATAGGTTGTGCTGCATTTACTAGTCTCAGCTGCTAGGACACGGCGGCAGGCAAACTCTCAATAAATTGTGACGCCAACAACTGTGCCTCCGAGTCCTCATCGATATACGGCAACGCACGACGCAGCAACCTGGTGAGATCCACAGCAAGCAACAGCGGGTCCTCATCAGCCGACAGCCTTGCCAACCGGAACTTCTGCAACGCTTCCTCCCTGTCCAGGCTGTCGAACTCGGTCATCAGCCGCTCAATGACAGTCTCCCATGGCGTCTTCCCGCCAGCACCGTCCAAGCTGTCATATACGGCCTTCGGTTCCTTCACCCCCACTAGCTCCGTCACGGCCTCAAACTCCTTCAGGAAGCTCCGAACATCTCCGTCCTCAAACTCCTTCGGGCATGGAATCTTCATTCTTTGTGTAGGCAGCGACACCAAATGTAGTGAAGGAGAACAGAGGTGGGGCAACGGAATTGTATTTAACGAAAATTACAGAGTTACTCAGTAAAATCGGAAAACCATAACGTAAATTGTTCATTTGCAAAATATCAGTTCCTCATATCGAACTGGACTGTTCGTGTTGCCAAACATCAATCGATTGTCGCTATTCATGCGTTTCATACAAATCCAATTGTTTTCTAGCTCTTCCTTTCTTGATCTTCTCCCCCATCTTCCGCTGCCAGACATTACGTTGACGCTCACGTCATATACTACTTATAAGTAGCTCACACCAAAATATATTCATCTACTAACGAAAGGACGGGTTTGCTTCTCAGTAGTTCGCTTCGTCTCTCTTGTTGTAAGAGTAGAGGATATTCGTACGTTGTGGCTTTAGTCCATGAGGACATATGCGGTTTGACTGAATCATGTAAACTACTGCGGATTATTTGGTTGGGGTGGTTAGAGATATCAGGCGTCGTAATTCATAGTTATTGGGAGTAATGCAGATGTAGTCACTTTTTGTCTTTCTAGATTTGTCTTTTTTATTTCTTCAAATTATATCTTTGATGCCTCTTATACTCTATGATTCTCCCCGACAACTTTATACCGCTGGACTAATAGGATGTGGTGAGCTGAACAGATGTGTCCGTGTGCTAGGTTCTACGTTGCATAATACTAACCTAAGCTAATAAAATTGCAATAACAGCGAAATTAACTTTACAGCGTAGTGTACACTACTGGAGTTTTACACGACTGTACACTTGAACATCAACCTTTTGTCACGGCATTCTCATTACGTTGTTCTGTCCAAATGTCTGATCTTAACACCTTTTGATTCTGGTTTCCGTGAATACGATACATGATATTTGTTCCGAGAAAATACTTAGTCATTGTTAGATCATTTACCCTTCATATTTTAAATATCATGCGTATATTTTTTAACTTCATTTGTCAGATTGCTTTACAAGAAGCACAACGTGCACAGTTCCTCGTAGAACGTGCAAAACAAGAACGTCAGCAAAAGATAGTTACTGCTGAAGGTGAGGCCCAGGCTGCGAAACTTATTGGTGATGCCCTTTCCCAGAACCCTGGGTATCTTAAGCTTCGAAAAATAAAAGCAGCAACGCAAATTGCTAGAACGGTAAGGCCTATCTTTATGTAGTCTGTTATGTTAACCAGTACGTTTCTAGGACATAAACCCTTTAAAGTAACCTTAAGATCACTCTAATTCAGTCGCTTGAGTTTGATGAAACTGATTGTCACCGTTTCTTCAACGCAAAACGTAATTAGTTGGTTTTTGGACTAAATTAATTAAAAGATTTACTTAGGAAGTTTGGATAAAGATATCCTTGATGTATTTTATAACTACCGTCCCAAAACCATGTACTATAAATCTTTAGAAACAACATATAATTTTTCATTATTTTATTATTATTGTTTAAAGTTTCACAATACTTTGGCTTCTCCTTATCCTCTTTATGACTGCATGATCTAGTGATTTTAATTTACACATAACATAGCATCATCTTAAAAGTATGAGATCTGGTTTTACTTGTTCCAACTAATCGAGTCATGCTTAGGATGAAGTTTCGGTAAACATATATCCTGGAATATATCAGTAACATTCAAATAAATATATACATGGTAACAGACTTGTTAATTGTTGTATCGGAGTGATGTTCAAACTAAATGTTTACAATCTTGACAATATAGTTGAAATTTCTTTTTTTCCAGATTGCTCAATCTCAAAACCGTGCATTTTTAGATTCTGGCTCTTTAATCCTCAATGTTGCTGATCCTAAATTCGATGCTGGTCTGGATATTCTAAAGAAAAAATAAATCGAATTGTTGCATAGTATTGGCACTTTTAAAACCTTTAGACTAGCATTTCCAAATGTGTTTTGCTTCATATGTCACGTTTTTCGATTTAATTGAACACACAAACTTCCTGTGAATATTTTTAGTGTACAGGCGAATAAAAGATATAACGTTAGTGCTTCTTTTGTTGATTTATCGTTGGTGATAAATAAGTTTTCAGTTTTAATCAGCAGGCTAATAGTTCAGAACCCACTGCACCTACTATTGGTTGGAGAAACCAGGTGATATCATCAACCATCCCTCAATAATTGTTATTGAAGTCAACTACAATTTACTAGCTTGCATTCTTACCGAAGAGTACTTCCACAAATGCTCTTAATCACTTTGCTTCAGCGTGCTCACAAAAAAGTTTAGGTGATTAATAGTTGTAAATAGTTTCCGATTCGCCTCAAAAAGTTCGATATTTTACGCTAATACAGTATTGAATTTGTTTCATAACCTATTACTTTAATCACTAATGAATAGGCTGGTCTGAATTATTTTAGTGAGTTCATGCATTTATTACATGTTAAACTTGTGTACATATATCAATCGTTCATACTTTTGTTCAAACAATTACTGTTACTATTCTGCATGTAAAAATACCACCTGGTACGTTAAAACCCATCAGACTAAGAAAGTCTATCTATACTTTATTTTGGCCTTCAAAACATATGCGCCTGTTTAGTGTAATCCATATTAGCATCAAAATTCTGCAATTGTAATGAACTTATCAGCATCACCTTATGTTGAGATAAACCATGAAACATTGGTTTGTGTACAATCGTTTGGACTTAAATCCACGGATGATTTTATTTGCATTTCACACTAAGATATAAACACTGTAATGTCCGTGCATGTGTTAACAATCGAAGTAGGGTTTGGTTCCTTTTTGATAATGCGTCAATATATAAGAGGTACTCACTGAACAAAATACCTTACTTATGTGGCATATATCGTAGTAGAAGAATAACTCCTCTAACTGTTGTATGAGTCATTACTATATATCCATTCGCTCCTGTATACTAGCTACTACCTGGTTTGAATCATTCGCAGCGATAAACAAACATCGTGGATTAGCATAATCTGTACGATATTATGTTTTTTTCCATTTTTTTCACCACCATTATTAGCTTTGAATGCTCCAACTATGGCTGAGCATGAGCACCTTGAAGAATATGATAAGGGGAACAGTTCATCATTCTGTTGGCGATCTATAATGGTTAGAATTAGTCTAGTTGATGTTGAGTTACTTGAGTACCCGAGAGACCTCAGCAAGCTTTACCCCGTTTAATTTAATTTGAAAAGGCATATAATAATTCGGTTCAGTAGTGCACTGTGAGTTTCTTCATTGAGGCATGGATACAGTCACAAATGTATTGTTTTATTTTCCCAAAGACCTCATGGCTTTGCAATCACGATTATTAGTGTTGACATGGCTTAGAAGATACTAAGATGGGAATATTTATGTGAGGCTTAATTAAACATCGTAAATTGATGCACTTATTAACTGTTTCACATATATAGCTTCACCATTGAAGTTCCAGAACAGACGGATGTATGTCAACTAACACTAGCTATAACTAAATTTAGTTCTCGGCAGAGTATTTAGTTATTCATGACGTTGAATGTGCGGAACAGAAAGTATATTCATTCCACTATGGATATGGTTTTGTGTGGGCATCTCATTTCATTTAGTAATAATAATAACTTTTTAAACAGTAGGACTATTTTTTATAAAGTCCTATAATGAGAAGGTATGGTGAATTACGCAATTGGTTGCTGATATTGTCAGGGTATATTTTAAATCAGCAACATAAACTCTTCGAAATATTACTAGTAATCCCTATTGTTTTACTAAAATATTCTTACTTCATATCGATCTGAGCATAAACTTACCATACATAAATTTTTATTCCTGCCCCAATACTGTGGCTTGTCTGTCCATCTAGTTCATCCAGCAAATTATTATTAGTAACGATAGACAGGTATCAGTAATTTTAATTCATAGCTGGTAGATCCTAATTATGGGGTAAAGTATATTTGCTAACTCAATGAACAATGCCGATTGAAGCAAAATAAATATTCGAGTGATCTAATCAAGATCTGTTGCAGCTTCTAAAATGTAGACTTCCAAAGTAAGTTCTGTAAGGTTTTTAGTCTGGAAATACACAAAAATGTGTCAATTTGAAATTATCTACATAAATCCTCAAGTCATTATATTGTTTTCAGAACTGGAAATAAACCAGTTTAAATAAATTCACTTAAATGATTTTTAGTTATTTTGAAGACAGTTGTTATCACATGGCATCAACTACACAGTAGTATAAAATCTAGAGATTACAGGATACACTGAATTCTTATTTGGGAATTTTTCAACAGTGTACTCACAGTCTAACGTGGGATCGAATCTATAACCACCAGCTGTGGTGCTCGCTGCAACTCTAGATCGTCAAGCTGCAATCCAATACTAGATATTCTCGACTTCATTCATCTGGGTTATTTATTTTTGTTCATTCTTGCAACAGTGATCTATAAATTACTGTGATAATCTATCTAAAAAGTTTTTAGTGAAACGAACTTGAATTTATAGAAATGAAAAACTAAACTTGATATCAACTGATAGTAAGTTTCTGTTTGACTAGTCAAATTAAATAATAAAATGACCAACCTACCAAGAAATCAGGAATTTAACCACTTGCATATTAATTATCATATTAATTATCCAGATGATGCGTTTGACCAACTCTTCAGTTTCTACACATTTCATTTTGCATAAATTGAGCGAAAGCTTTTCCGTAAATAAGAGATACTAGTTTGGACAAATTTGCGATCTAAAATTACTCACCGCTCGGTGATTGTTGTAGTTTATTTCTTTAGCATCTTAATGTCTGTTTCAAAAATCTGAATTAGATAAAATAAAAAATGTTTATAATTTAGGAAGATAAATTTGTATATATGGCGGAGAAAGTTGTTTCTGACACCGAATAATTTTTATTTCCTCAAATGAGGTAAGAGAAACAAGATCGTAAAGACTAAATCGATTTATTCCACCTCAAAGCTTCTCATCATTCAGGGAGGACTCAAATATCAAAGGAAGCACCTAAAAACTAGAAGCGGACGTAATTTAAGGCATCATATTCGAGTTTAAAGCTAAAACCGGACAACAAATCATAACAAAGCACTAAATATAGTGTACTTGATGAAGAAATGGATATTAATCTGCAGAAAATTTATCCTTACTTATAATAATAAGCCACGAACATGAACTATAATCATAATTAATAAGTGACTACATAAATGAATGAAAATCTGGCTGTAAAATCGGCTCCGAGTGAAAGTTAGCTGATCGAAATAACAGAGTAACATTCACTGTACCCAAATGCCGAATAATCTCCAGAACATATTGAAAACACTAGAATACTTTAACGGGCACTTGAGTATTTTTCAAGGATGATGTAATCATTTTTAATATACAGTTTTGCCATGATTTATGTACTCACAGTGAAAAATCATTGTTATTAGAACTGAACACAACCGTGGTGTAAACTTATATGATATATTGCTATACTAGTGTGGTGCGCGATAATTACAATTCGGTTGCCCTCACCTGTGTTCTCCTTCACTACACTAGGACAACTCCATTCCAAACTTGGGGGACGTGAGCTCTCACATGAAAATGTACCGGCAAAAGGCCTCTGAACATATGGTTTCGTAAGTTTTCGACATCATTGTCTTACCGGATGCACACTAAATGAAGACACCCAGTCTAGACTCCGCGCCTGGGCATCAGCAGTTACGCCGTGTCACTCAACCTTCCAGACAACTAGTCAGCTAAGCATATGGTTAGAATATTCATCCAATATCCTAAGAGAAGTGTTTGAAAGTCTAGTTTTATTGGTCAATTCCTATTATTCGTCCTAACTATCATTGTCACATTATTCAAATGTTTCCCATTAGACCTAATTGCATAAATATGCATTATCTGTAACGTTTTTGTGGTGTTTGAATGAAATAGTGACTTCTTGGTTGTTGTTGAATGCTTGATTTCGAATTCTAAATACAGTACATTCGTTCGTGCTTATCCTGTAGTTCTTGATTCACATACTTCTAAACATCATAGTTTTATTACCCGGATCCCTATTGCGGACCTCGTACTTTCTGGATGACTGAAGAATACATGTTCTACTCCATATCAAGGGGGTCGGGACACTCGGATTAGAGTAGCATGTCTAGTCTCCGGATCCTCGATCCTCATAACCGTCATAGGTCTGCTGCAGCGCCACAACCTACTGTTCAACGAAACTAACAGGCTAGTAAAAGGTAATATTTCACTATCTATTTTGTGTGGAGTATCCTCTTCTGGTTGCAGGTTGTGCACGGCCAAAATTTATCTGTAATTTCAGCTGCCACCTGAGAGTTATCCCGATCTGTACAAAACATGACCAGGGGTACCTTGACTAACTAGCAATGTGACACATCATCTCACAACTGCTAGGCCATTTTATGCACAAGATCGTGCCGATCATGTCTTCATTTGGTAAAGCTGACCATGAAGATTCGATCGTACAATAAATTTAGGACTTATCCAACTATTAAATAACCAATGGGCATCTTTACATGTGGTCCCCATGGGGAATAACAATGACGTCCGGAAGATGGATGTTAGTGATTCAGTAACAAGAATATTCTTTTTGCTAAGAATTCACGAAACAAACGCGATAGTGGACAGTCTGACTGTATTTACAAAAATCAACATCATTTGACAGCACATTTACACTACATCAATGACAGGAACAGTTTGATGCAGCCACATTTTCAAAACGTGTGTACAAATAGAGTAGGCACACAGTAGAGTTGTTGGGCGGTTTACATATTTCAGAGGTGAATTTGTTCGAAAGTGTCAGTCGGAAGGCGCTTGATATGCACGCACATAAGGTGCATTCTATGGATAGGTAGCCCGGGTTCTGAGAAGGGACAGAGGAGTGAGACAAGAAAAAAGATCAACGAAACAACTGTACATATATGACTAGATCACTAATTAACCATTGATAATGATGCAGACAGAGCCGTGGCAAGTCAAGTTAAATTCATACGGACCTCCAAAATTAAAGTTAATTGCAGTAATATAGCCCGAAAATGAAGTAGTATAGCAATGAAGAGTAGTGAGTTGTGAAGTGCATCAAGGTGCATGGAAGAAGAATTGGATTAAGAAGCTGGATGTCTGTACACTGGAGCCAAAAGTTCAGTGAGAAGAGTGGATTTTCTAAAAAACAGTGATAATCATATTTTTCAAAATTCATTTTTTTGTTCTACATCAAATGCCAAACCCTAGGTTAAACTGCAAGTGCCTGAGCCGATTGTCTTGGAAGAATAGCGATCTCAGAACAGTTTTGGAAACATGAGTCTCAAAATTAGCAAGCGTTTAAGAGCGACCTCAGTATTACTGACTACTCATCACATCAGTCAAAAAGTGTCGAAAGCAAACAAAGAGTTCTGTCCGACAATCCTGGGTGGATTGAAGTGATCGCCTTCACCATCAATGTTTACTCGTCAGTAACCTGAAGCTACCTCCTTTTGTATTGTTCATCATATTTTAAATGATTGTAAGACAAAATTTAACATTCTACTGAAGGCTCTATATTTCACACAATGGTGAGAAATACTATTTCCTAAAGTTCCTTTTACAAGCTTGTCTGGAAATATGTGCTAGTTAACAGTTATGGAGAAAGCAGTACGGGTTTTCATACTAACTATAAGCATTTAGGGATCCAGTGGCGGAAACGCGTTCAGTGAGTTAGGCGGGAAAGTCTTGGAGTATTATAGATATAGTGCATGAGAGAACAGTGAAGTAAATAATTGGCAGAATGGGACTCAAAAATTTGTGGGTGTTGATAACTTTTTTGTTCAAGCCAAATCAGGTGACTGCTTTTCAAGCTGCAAATTCATGAACACTAGTGGTAAATCAGCGAATGGTGACTTTTTAACGATGACTCGTAAGGGCAGTACAAAGCTTTTTATTCAGCCAGTAATAGTTTAACATTACTGATTGACTCATTGAGTAACCTGTCTATTTAAAGTAAAAAATGTGAAATTTTGTAGCCAACTGCAATAATTGAAGGCCACCTCTGAGAAGGGGAAATATAGAATACACCCTTGAATTTTAATACGTTTTAAACGTGTGGAGAACTAGTAATATGTAAGCAGAGTGAGTTCACACGTAAATCAGACTCATCCATTTCAATAATCCAAAGAGCTTCACAGAGATGAATAAACAAGACTTAAAAGCCTGTGGTTTTCTTCTGTATATCGTTGGAGGAAAGTTTACTGAATAAAGAAGTTTCACTTAGAACTGCTATTATTTTGTAGATGCGAAGAAGGTAGTGTTCCGCATACACAAGGAGTTGCACTCAAGCTATCCAAACAAGCATGAAAGGCACTGATATGATGTGAATCTCATGGACCCAGGATCATCAAAGCATCCTTCAAAACAAAGAAAGATGAAATGTCGATGAATTTTATTCAGTTCTGTACACCTACCAACGATACCAATGAAGGCGTTAAATGTCTACTACATGAGAGGTCGTCGCCAGTCATAGCGAAACGCCGAATCAAGGCTTGCCAATCCTAGTGGAAATCTAATATACCAAGTTTGGAATCGACAACACTAGGAGGAAACAGAAGCTCAAGAAGCACAACATCACAAAAGTTTTAATGATAATAACTATAAAACCAGGAAGACAACGGAGAACAATTGAAAATGGATCAGGGAGGCAATCACTTCAGCATGTGGTGAAGTTTCGATCCACAAGAAGTGCCATAGCCATGAATGGATCACTGTTGAGACACCGGATAAGATTTCAGAAAGGAGGAACGATAAAGTAACAAGGTATTTCTGCCGAATCAGAGCCGAGGAAGCCCGAGGCACAAGTTGAGTACAAAGAAGAAAACAAATAGGTGAAGAAGAGCATCAGAGCCGACAAACGCAAATGTGTGGATTATCTGGCAACGACGACAGAAATGCATGAAAGAGTCGCAACTCTTGAATCAGCCAGCTTCACCGTACACGCCCAACATCGGGTCAGCACCTACGGACCTCCTAATCGATGCTGGCCAACGAACAATTGAGGAGGCAAGCATGGCTATCAGACAAATCAAGAGCAGCCAAGAAGCGGGACCAGAAAACATTCCAGCTGAGGTAATGATATCAGATGTAGCAGAAATGGCATAATTACTCCACATTCTCTTCAACAAGATTTGGACTGAAGAACAAGTACCAACAGGCAGGAAAGAAGGACACCTGACCAAAATACTAAAGAAAGAAGATCTCAGCAAGTGTGAGAATTACAGAAGCATCGTTCTTCTCTTAATACCAGGCGAATTCTTCAACTGTGTGCTTGAAAACAGCGAATTATTCCGTGCGGAATTCTTATGATGGGATGAACTGCAAAATATTGGATGGAGGATAGATCACAAACACGCAAGAGGTGACGACCGGTGTTAGGCAGGGTTGGTTGCACTCACTCTCCCTCCTAGTGGTCGACTGGATTAAGAAGTCGTTAACGTCTGGGAGAGGGAGAGCACGGAATGCATTGGATAACTAGGACTTTACAGATGATCTGGCTCTTCTATCGCACAAGCAACAGCAAATGCAAGAGAAGACGACTGGTGTAGCAACCGTCTCAGAAACAGGTCTCAATATACACAAGAGGAATAGCAAGATTCTACGATACAACAGAACATACGACAACAATTCATAGAGTGGCTATGGAGGATATAAACGCCTCTAAATATCTGGGCAGCATCAGTGACGAGCAAGACGGATCCAATGCAGATATGAAGTTGCGGATCGGTAAAGCAAGGACAGCATTTATACAATTGGAGGAATTTTGGAACCTAAAACCACCGTTAACAAACACCAAAATCAGAATTTTCATTACCAATGTCAAGACAGTTTTACAACATGCAGCGAAAACTAGGAAAACTACCAAGGTAATCATCCTGAAGATGCAAGTATTTATTAACAGTTGCTAACGCAAAAGACGTCGGATTCGTTTGCCAGACGTCATCAGCAACAACGCTCTGTGGGAGAAGACAAACCAGATTCCAGTGGAGGGAGGAATCGGGAAGAGGAACTAGAAGTAAGCAGGACGCATTGCGGAATGTACCAAAGTGCGTCAAAACACGAGACCTCACTTGGAACCCTCAGGGTCAAAGGAAATAAGGAAGGCCGAAGAAATAGTTGCTCCGCAAAATGGAGACAGACATCAAAAGAATGAACGAAAATTGGACAGAACCGGAAATGGAAGCCTGGGACAGAGCATGTTAAAGAATACTGGTTGGTTGCTCCTTCGGGGGAACCAAGCATAAGTATATGAGTATATACTCATTCAAAATGATAAAGGAGGCCTACACGCGATGGCTGTTAGATTGAAATAGATTCTGCTGTTATTGCCCGGCCAACTCAAAGCCTATATCGAGGTTTATGATCAATAACTTGATAAAAAAGTAATGTTCTGAATTGCCAAAGTCTACATGAAATATAATATTGAAATATTGTATATTTGTTTTTTCGATTGGCTGGCAGGGTCCCACTATTATGAATTTGTTCTTAGTTCCTGTCAGCATGTCGAGGATTATATTTATCACCGGTCAGTTTAAGAAATAGTAATATATGATTGTTTTCAGATCTTTTGCTTTTGGTGCTTTCAACATGTTCTAGTAGTGATGTGTCTGAGTTTACCAACACATCTGGTAAGTTACTTATGAAACATATGACTACGAATTAAACTATTATTTAACGAATGAAAAGCTGTAATACCACTTGAATTTTAATCCTAATTTTTTGTTGTTCAGCTTTCAGTCCCTGAAAACCCAGCTTTTTTACATTAATTATCACTTCACATGTTTAGATATCATACTGCGAATAACTCTTAATTAATCATGTAATAGGTTTATGATGGCATTTTGTTCAAATTGTAATGAGTCTACGTTAAGGGAAAACCTCATGGTCTTCTCAGCTGTTTCTGCCGGGCACCTTTTGATTCTACTTTTCTCTTTACGTCTCGAGCCGGATCTACTAACCCAAAGTACAAAAAATTAACCTTCATTTTCAAACAGTTGAGACTCAAAAATTGCGAATCGATAGATTTATTCTTGTGCGTCAATTACCTAAGTCATTCGTTTTTTAGAGTGTTGCCGTGCACACAGCACTATTTTTAATTACCTCACCGTTAGGTGACTCTGGTTTTATTCGTTGAGTTCACTGCAACTTTGGACTTCGTCTAGTGCTACCGAAAGTAAATACTGGATGGATGACTCTGCTGACTACTATTCTGCCAAAGTTACTCGAATCAAACTTATCTATAAACTACTATCTGATGGTTAGGGTCTGCAGTGGTAATTTCATTGAGTTTATTCTAATCTCGCTTTTTTGTGTTGAAGTAATGTTGAGTTACTAAAAGCAGTACAGGCTTTCACTGGGTGCTGTGCTGTTACTGCATTTTCATTTTATTTTACCTCACCATTTATTTTTATTCCCACTATACTGGTCATTTTTCATTCTAATTACAATATTTTGTGATGTTTGGTTTTCTATCACGTTATTAATGTATCTTCTCATTAGATGACTAAAATATAAAATATTGACGTTTAGATTTTTAGTTTAATATTTATTACTTGTAAGTTTTACTTAAATATAAACAATTTAAAAACGTTTTTGTCGAGAAACAACCGTGTAAGCCACTAAAAATGTTACAGTTATATTTTGGCGATATTTCACATAGTTTTTTATTATTTCTAACTGGAAGCTAACATGCCTTAAACCTAGAAAATTAACGAATAACTAGTGAATGGTTATTGTTAGACTTTGCTCACTGGTTATCTTTTGTTTATTCACATGTTTGTTCTGTAAAATGGCGTCACGACCAATTAAATTTACCTTCGTCCTAGCGTGCAATAAGTTGTGCAAATATTGTCAACAGTTTGTGACAGACCGCGAATACCATTCATGAGTCTGTTGTACATCTAATGAATATTAAAAAAGTAGAAATGACAGGTTACTTAGTTATTCGCCGCCGTAAAAATCAACTATCATTTTATCGGTGTTTTCTGATGATAGCAACTCCATAAATATAATTTAAGTCTTTAAACAAGTCCAGCCAACTACTCTTAGAAGTCACGAGCTAATCCATTTACCGACTTGGGCCAGAAGGCATTTTCGTACACGTGTTACAGATTCTTTAAATGAAATTTACTATTCAGGTTATTCGTTCACGCCACAGTATCCTGAGATAGAAGAAACAGGGCCAAGTGATTATTCTGAAGAAGCATCTTATCCAATAGTGAATGTATCTCAAGAAGATATGGCGGATAATGGTACTACTTCAGCACATTCACCTAGCACAACCGATAAACCTAGCTCGGCAACACATGAGCCAGCCACGACAGCATATTCCAACGTGACAGGTCATCCAGAAGCTTCAACTATGTCGACAACACCAACAACGACAACGACAGAAAGAGAGACAACAACTGGAATGATAACAACAGGAACGGTAACAACAGAAATGACAACTTCAGATGCGATGACGACAAAAATGACAACTTCAGATGCGATGACAACAAAAATGACAACGACAGATATACCCGTTTCACACGTACAAAAGTTTTCGCTGAAAAGTGGAAGCTCTTATTGTTTTCTGTTTCAAAGTAACATAATGTTCCGGATTTCCTACCGCAGTCAGGTAAGAATATATGTAGTTAAAGGACGTAATTTAAAACTTAATGATTCAATCTAGTCGATCATTGCAGTACCATATACAGCCAGGCTGCACACAGTTTATCAAATAATATAGTTCGTTTATAATACCATAGGATTTATTGTGAATCAATTTGTGACAATTTCTGTCTGCAGTGTTTCTTCCATTGTCACAGATATTATCTACAGCGAAATGCATAATTTCATAATACTGCCAATTTTTCCCTTTTCTACTGTTAAATTTATTTGCCATAGGCTTTTTTTGACCATTACTAGACACTCTTGGACTGAATCCACGGATATTTTTAAGATAAGGTCCACAAATATCAATAAAACTGAATTACATTAATGTCAGCATTACCACGCTCCACCTAACTGTTCTTGGTATCCAGAGAAATATCCCCAAGGATAAACTGAATATTTATCATATTTTGAGTGCATAACGGATACATTTAGATGTTTCGCTTTAACTGTTTAGACATAACTTTGAAACTTCCACAGTCGGACAACAACGTTTAGAAAACGCCGAATAATTCTCACAATAAATTCTTGTTAATTATGTAACTTCATTAAATAAACAAAGTGAGCAATTTAGCGGATTGTTAACTAGTCATTAGATGTGAAATTAGTTTTCGTTGAACTTCTCTATCACAAAAACTGTCCCGAATGCAATATCTGGAAATTTTTCTAGTGATTAGAAATAAAATCTAGGTTTATTTGTCGAGAACAGGTGAAAAATTTACTTAGCAGTTCAGATAAATTTGAGTTTGATGAATATACCTAGAGTTTTAATTAGGTGGTATAAAACATATTCTTCGTTCCAAAAACTACAGTTAACTATCATTTGTTTGTATTCAATCACTTAATCAGATCATTCAAATGTTAAACTGCAACATTCTGCTCGCATTTCTCTCTGTGGTGATTAGATTTGTAGTGTAAGTTTGAATGGCTCACATGATTTTGGCTCAGAGACGTGGAAAAATAAGGGCATATTCAATACTATGAACCAAGCGACAACGGAAAGCAGCCTAGTCTCTTTAAGTATACTGAACGTTGGATGCGAACCACATTTTTGATTTCAGGCCCATACACCACAATGTAAGTGGTAACGTTTCAAAGGGTTCTCTAATGGTCTATTATTCGAGGTTTGATCCAAACTAAAGTAAACCAGTATTATAAGTTGCCCTCTGACGATATCCAGTGACTAAAGTAAATACAAATACCATTCGTACATCTATTGAGCTGGAGCACTTTAGCCATGCGGTTTAATAACCAGAGGTTTCCGACTACCCTGAGTAAACGCACGACTCCGTTACAACAGAGAAATGTGCTTTCAAGTTTTCACTTTTATTACTGGCTATGTCCTTATTCATGAATTCAGCAATATAAATTCCATATCAAATTGCATAATTATGACTGTGTTAAGGACACTTTGAAAGGAAAAACGAGTCAGAAGAGCCTACAACTTATAAGGTATTTCGATTGCGCGAATTAATCAATTCAAGTACTTATCTCTAACTAGTGTATGTATGTGTGTGCTCAAAACGGTAAGATTTGGTTATGCATTTAAATTCAATAACCGAAGTTTTATGTACCAGTCACTTTCTAGAAGTTGAAGTGATATTCTATCATTGAATTGTTTTCTATTTGAAAAATAGAATAGAATTGTAAAATCTTACGAATTTACAGTATCTAATGCTACTGTGAATAACAATGAAAGTGCATGTACTGAAAAATATACGAAATTATCGCTCACGTTCACACCAAATGAGCGAAATGAAGAACATGAATGGAAATTAGTTTTTCTACTTAATCGTATCGAATCAAACAAAACTTCAATTGGCGCGACTACCATTCCATCTTTTTATTCTTTAAACAATATATTGTTAACTTATTATTTGGATAAGGATTTATTTCCGGATTTATTGACACCAGGTATGTTACATCTTTGAATACGCATTAATTTATGGTGGTTAATAATGCCGGCTAACTATTTTTAAGCTTCTATTCTGATATTCTTAAGACCGTAAATTACTGAATTACTTGATTTTGATTCAATGAAACAACAGTTAGAACCATTCCTAGTTACATGTATTTTTAAATCTTACAGTACTTGGGTAAATGAAATAATCGATATAAGCTAAATTATCCATCATCTAATGATGGGTATTGTTATACTTGGCGTGTTAACAACTAGGACCATTAACTGACTAGTGCATCGCTTTCAATCCACTGAAATACAGACGTGGGCAGTTTAAGTAATACATTTTCTTTAGGATCGTAAGTTATTGTCATTTGAGTTTTCTTGATGAAACTTCTGATTAAAGTTAACATAGAAGGCTTATGTTAGAAACACATTATAGTAACCAGCACTTGAATGACATTGTTTTTTATAACCAAATAGACGTCAGTTCAGTCAGTGCAGTCAGATAACAAGCCATAATAACAAATGAGATACCAATTAAACCATGTAATTGTTGCTACTTTTCTTATCAAGTAGTACCATTATTATTTAAAGCGGTTTACTGAATTTTCAATTATTATGAGGACCTAAGTGAAAACCACAATATTTTCTGATTTTCGTCGATGACCAGTTCTTTTGTCTCTTACCAGACACATTTGTCTCAGTATCATTGTATTGGTAAACAGTTCGACGTCTAATAGTATGAACAAGCTATGTGACGGATATGAAATTTATTTTTTCCACTATTACAATTACATCTTATAACTCTTTTAGACTTCAAATACGAATAATGAGACTTTTACCAGTGATGTGATAGACTTCTGGCGAGCTTCTGAACTTTGTATTTTTCAGAAGTTTAATGCTGGTTTTTTAATATATTTGTATGAGTTGTGATAGTATTTGGAATAATATGCACAAATAAACACTCAGCATGTCCGCTTACTTAAAAACTAGTCCCCAGTTCTTATATTTCTGTAATGTCCAACCGTCCAGGATAGTCCGTCACATCAGTTTTACAGAAAAAAAACACAGATGGCAGCGAAGAAACGAACAAAAATATCTCATAACCTCCCTTCATTGATTGACTAGATTTTGGCTTTGTGTATGATACAACTGCTTTTTGGCGTGTCCACAAACTTGAGGAAACTGATGCCATCCCAAAGACTAGGTTGCGTCATTCGTCTCAGTAAGAGATGTTTCCACAACTGTTCTTTGTTACTGGACTGCTGGAATAATGGAATGACTACACTAGCCATTCACTGAGCTGCCTAGTTTATAGTCCCGAATAAATTCTTCTTTTCGACTTCACAACACAATGACCCAGCTAAATGAATCTACAGTGAGTTCAGCCTTCTGCAAGATGCACTGTTATATAAAGCCATCTGGCTTCGTAACCATATTGTACACATAGTCAATTCAGTCCCACTAGTTTACTTCTCCAGATATTATCTGTGAAGTTCATCAATTCATGAAATGTGATTAAATTAGTTTTTATGTGGTGCATCATTTTCGAAAAACAAAACAGGTGATGTAAAATTAGTAAGATGGTCTATGCTTTACTTTCTATACATTGGTCTTAAATTCTGTCATTAGGTCATTATGTTAATGTGTCTGGTAATACTACGGTGTTTGAAATACCTGTTGGATCATATTATTCATGTACGACTGTACCGGATATTAGCCTGACTGGAAATGAAGAAATACCAAACAGTTTCAAAGTATATATGAAAAATTTGAAAGTAGAAGCATTCATGAACAATTCTGTGGAGGCATTTCTTGGTAACGGTAAGTCGTACTAAACTGACTTGGTGTGTTGCCAATATCGTTCCAATTGTATTGTTAACCCTCAATACTCAATTCTAACTGTGTACTGATCTTAGACATTGATTGAATTTTAATAACCAAAAACTAGGGTTTACAAAACCTAAAAATTGTATATACATATATACAGATAGTTTTCAACGTTTTTCAAGAATGCACTGAATTTTATCTATCCCCACATTTATGAGGTCCCCATTACTCATAATAGTCAAAGCCTGAAGAATATAACATTAAAAATTCACAAATTATTATTATTAAACCAGATATTTTGTGCCCTATTTAGTTATTACAATAAATTGATGCTACTCCTGTTTATATAGTCCTATCCATTAGTATGGATATATACTTTCTGTTTGATAGCAACAGTAATAAAAATATCCTCATTTAGATTACAATAAGTCTATCAAAACCTTATTTGCCTTGAGGAAATTTTAATAGCACTGTTTATTAGTATTACATTAATAATGTTTGAGCTAGCAGATCCGGTTATGCCATTTTGTTAAAGCATTATAAGTACACTGACTAGACATAGATCTTCAACAGTGTGTAATTTTTTCGATCAATAAGTTTGATTCCTTTACTTAGACGGCATTTAACAGTAAAACTGTTAACGAGTGTTTTCTTTACAAAATGTCACATCGGAATTATGACTCACTACATTTTTTGATTTGTAACTTGAAAGAAACCTTATTTTTCTCCATAATGTTAAATTCTTAATACTTCATTCCAGAGGCTCCAATTTCCTATGTAATCAATAATACTAGTAGGGATGGATAAATTTATTTTGTGATCATGTTAACTTCCGAATTATTGTCTTTTGGGATAATAGCTAAATTGGGTCAAATAAAATTCTATTTTCTGGTTTATTGTGTCTTTTTAAATTGTCCCAATGGTGTATACTACAGTTTTCTTCTTTTACTGGTAATAAACATTTTGCATTTGTTACTAACTGATTAAATTGCTATTATATATCCGTAAAATAATCACTTATGGAAAAACCATATAAATAGTTACTTCGAAATGACTACGATCCACTTCTCGAGGGATATTTTTTACCATGATTATGTTGTTATAAGCGAATAAAATGACTCCATAAACGAATGGTCTCTTTCTTCTGTCATAAAACATTTGCCTTTTATGTAAGACTTAAGTTCGTAAGAGTAAAATTTTAATCTTTTATTAAAGATTATTTCGAAAACAACTTATTTGTTTTGATTGCCTAACCTCTCTCCTCTTCGCTGTACTTTATCTTTGACAGAAACGTTGTGTGATTCAGATGTCAGTGTTAACAATATGGTACCTATTGGCGTTGGCGTTGCCCTTATTATCTGTATTGTGGTTGCAGTAACTGTATTTATTGTTTTCAACAGACGCAATCGTCGTAGTTACGCTACACTTTAAATGAGTTTATTGATTTTATATTATTTATTTCATTCTTATGTGTTTTTGTGTATGTATGTATGTACGCATGCATGTATGTTTAAGAACTGGTTATCATTTGACACAATTAGGCAATCCAGTTAACCCGTTTTATTTGCAACCCGATTTTTGTTAAAGTATTTTAACGTTTCTAATGTCTTCCATGATTATCGTTATTGTTATTGGATAATTCAGTTCATTTGTGATTAAATGGTGTGACATTTATTATATATATATATATATATATATATATATATATATATATATATATAATTTAATAGAATTTTTCATTCAATATATCGATCATCACCACTTTTTTCTCTGAACGCTTATCTGTTCACATTTCGTTTTTACGCAGTGTTTTTCTGAATGATTTTGAAAATAAAATATAATAAATATTGTTGTTAGAAAAAATGGTTTGAATTTTTCTTGGTTTTTAAATTGGAGCTATTGATGTATGATTTTTTAATGAGATTACTCAATTCCTACTTGAGTCATGTATCTTAAGGTGGAAAATGCCTCTGATTAACTTATCCTCAGGTTTGAGAGGAGAAAAAAGAACAGAAGTAGCCACTGACAACATATTGGTTATCATAAATCCTATGAAATGAAAAAGAAATGACAGGTTGAATGGATTCGTATAAATTGTTAACTGTTCAATCTATTTCTTATGGTTAAAAGTAAAGATGAAAACATAACGTCAATTCATATTTCTTTATTTCTAATAGTAAAAATCAAGTCGATTTGTTCCATATTATTGATTTCTTAACGAGATAAGCGCTTATATTAACACTCTAGTCGTTGATTAACAATAATTTGAATTAGTGCATAATTTTTGAAAAATGTTGGTTCAAATTCACACCACAGAAAGCTGCTTTCAAAGAAAAGACGTTAGTCGTGAACAAAAAGCAATCAAAGTAACTTAAACTTATTAGATTTGGAATTAGATATATCATGAATAATAAGTTACTATTCTGGTCGGTTCCAAACCCGTATCATCTATGGTTTTTCATAGTCACAAAATAAGGAAGACTGTAGTTGTTTATTTATATGCAATCAAATACATTTTGCCTCCAAAAATTCGGAAATTCTAAATGCAACTTCTATCTTTATTGACAAGGTTAATGTAGCTAACCAGCAATCTTAGCTGATACAACTCCAAAAGCAACCAAACTTATCTGAACTTTTCTACCACTTTTAAAAATGAGTATCAACGTAGTCGAGTTCTGGATCATCATTCATTTTGTATGTATAAGGTTTGTAACAAACATTACCTGACGTTTTTGCAAGAAGCTCAAAAGTCATTTGGTATTGATAGAATTCTTCAAAACATTTCTTAACGGATTAGAGGATTTCTGGTTAGTCTAAGTCTATGTAACCAGCATTGTTTGAATATATAATCAATTATGTACAGAGTGACAAGATATGGATAATCTAAAGCTATTGGTAACGCTTTTTTCTCTGACTTGGATAATCTGACCAAGAATAAAACTCAACCAAAATCATCCAGTTGAGCTACAGATTTCCTGCGCCATCTCAAGACCTTAAGATATTCTTCATTAAAATTAACAAACCTGTGGATTTTACATTTTATTCATTATATTTTCAAACCTGAGATAAACACTTCAAAATACTTTTTCTACACCTATGAACCGTCAATCAACCTATCGACTTGTATCAAAAATTGTAATTATTAGACTATATGCAAGCAATTAAAAACGGAATGACTTTCCAATAACTTTCGTATGTTAAATTTGATATTTTATCAAAATATGATAATGAGTAGAATGTTTCTAACGTCCAAACACATTTAATCTCATACTTTTTACTGTTGCTGCTGCAACAACTGCTACTAATCATAAATATATACTGAGGATAGATTGTAATCCAAATAGCAATATTATCCCATCAGTCTTATTCAAATGTTCACTCATAAATGATATCAATTTTTAAGTTTATTGGCTTCCTTCTTATTTAAGTAACCTAAATTACTAGAAATCAACATGATTTAAAAACAACGAAATTATGTATATATTTATATATGATGTCAAATAACTATTATGATAGGTAGTTACAGATTTTCTTACCTACTTACTTTTGTGTCTAACTCAGTTGTTATCAGATACCATGAATAACTAGCTTTGCTTCTTCAGTCCCTTGATAGTATTTTACTTAAAATCCAAATGTTTCCATGTCAAATCACATACTGTAAAAATAATCACTTCGTAATGAAGTCCATTATTATTCATTGTACTTAATGTGGAGGGAATCTTAAAATTATCAGAATCTAGAGATCCAATGTGAAAGTTGACGTATACTGTAACTAGTCGTTTTAGTCATGTTGATAGATAACCATCAAATACTCTATGGAATAGTACAACGAGTCTTCAGCTGATATGTATAAACATTTGTGAGTGTCCGTTTAACTGCTGATTTCTATTTCTTACTCTTTTTACTCGTTCATTGAATCTGTTGGTTATCTATGCACTTATACACTCAGATTATCTTTGCCGCTAAATTCTCAATTTCATGAACTATGTCCAACCGTCCTCTTTAATATACTGTGCTAAGAATGTAATACACAAATTTTATTAGAGATTGTTAACAAAGAAATTGAAGCTAAATGCGATGAAGACAGGAACTATTGAATTTCGTCATTCACAATCATTTAACAAATGTAAATTAAACGGAAACTAAATAATCTGTATAATCATTAAATTATTTATGTATTGCAAATTGTTTTCTAAAAATTCAATAAACTTTTTTCATTACCATCTCGAAAATTACAGGTGCAATCAGTAGTACAAAATCTCAGCTGTTTCATTATTTATTAATAAAACATTGATAATTTTTGATTTATTATATAATAGGTTAATTCATTACAAATATAATGACAAGATATGTTTATTGTATATATTATAAGTGATCTTTTTTTGGTAGAATTATTTTCTCTCAGTCTATTTTTAATATTTTTTTTGGCTTGATATAAGTTTAGATAATAAAATAATGGTGTTTTTTGTAATAAATATTCCTCCTAGATCCGCCTGAATATTATGTGAATAATGATCAGATTTTATCTGTATTGTTTCAATGATTGCAATGAAAGCTAGGTTATTCAACAAATGACACTAACATGAAGTAAGCGATTAAAATAGTGTACTATGGTTAACAATCGAAAAAATTCTTTGAAAATGTACAGAGGAGAATTTATGGAAATATAATCAAACTACAAGTTATTTACTTGATTGATGTGCCAGTTTTTCACGGCTAAAACACTGATATTTGACGATTCTGCGTGATAAACTAAGTTAGTGGTTCATTGTTTGACAATCTACTTCATAGATTTGGTGACTAGGTGGGTTGAGTAATTATTTCTTGTCAGTTGGGACCTAGCTACATGTACTCCTATTTAAACAGACGAGTAGTAAATATCACAAGCCTTCACACAGTGTATCTCGAAGCCAAATATGTAAATGTTTAGGTTATGTATTACATCAGCCTCCTGGTTTGTTTAATTAAGGTGATAACGGGTTCTTTTATTGTTATACGATTACTCATAGAAGACGAAATCAAATACTTGATCTTTTTTAGTCTGATTACTTTAAATATAATATCAATAATGTAACACAAACATATATCACATTACTGAAACACGAGGTAACCAACAAGTGAATATTACTTTAATGAAAAATAATTATAAAGTCATATTTAAAAAGTCATCAGCGATGATACTAGATGGTAATCATTCTGTATCGTGAATGGATTGTACTTAAAATGTATGTTATTACATGCTAGCTCAGTGTTCCGCAGTTTGAGCTCTCCTCTTGATTCGCATGTTGTTACATACTATCAAGACACTGGTGCCCAGGCCTATTTGGTTTTCAAATGTAGTATGAAGGAAATCACGTTAATTGCATGAAAGTAAAACTAAAGGGTCACTAGTTTTACGACTTTCATTTTTATTTGTGCTTCGTCTTTGATGATTATTTGGAAAGTAGAATAAACGAGTTGAAAGCAGTCAACTTGAAAAAATAAAAGGCGACTAATTTTTTTCAAAATTCTATATTATAACTTATTAAAGGAATGCACTTAGCAATTAATACATAAAATAGGAATAAATAAAAGACCAGAGAAAATACAGAACAAATAGGATTAGAATGGTAGGCGTTTAAATTTCAGTGTGGTAAAATTAGAATGTATTCCGTTAGACGTATTTAACTTGCGTCAATTTAATTTAAGCTTCCCTACTGTCATAAAGATTATACAATAACCTCCATGACGGCTTATTAATCACACTAACAGTTAATAAACTTTGATCTAGACATTTAAACATTTATGTCAACTGACTTGTTTAACAATCCACTACAGTATGCACATATCATTATTGAGTTAAGAAAGTTTCATAGTGTCACTGAAAAAAAAAGACTTCTCTGCTTGAAGTCTTCATTTCATGATGAAATTACTCTATCAGTTAACTGACTTCTAAAGAACTTTGATCATAAGCGATTCATATTTTGATGTTTATAATTCTCGTGGTATTTATTTTATCCTACACATATTTGTATTTGAATGGTAGATAGAAGTTTGAACCTATAACATTCATTGATTTTTTTAAAAAAAGTCTGGTTGTTTCATTGATTTCATAGATTGTTTAAGTCACTGATACTAAGTTCATATCAGTATTATTGAATTAACTCTTTTACGACACTTCGTGAAGTCAAAATTTATGTGTTATGTTCCTTCTTTCACTGTGACTGATGTCCGAAAATACCTTCAGTCACTTAACTCGCTCCAATATCTAGGACCTGATGAAATCTTAAACCTTATTTTTAAGAAGTGTGTTGACATCCTGTGTTAATCATTCACGAAAATCTCTAAATGAATCCTTTTCAACAAATTTTATTTCACAAATGTGCAGCATGGTAAAGATAATTCCAATCTCAAAAAATATATAATGATCCGTAATCAGTTTGTTTGCAAATTTAAACGAAGCAATTTAGATGCTGCTGTTGTTCTGCATCATAATGTAATATTCAACTTAGAAATGGTTAGGAAATATGTTCGATATGCATCTCTAGATTATACTTCTGCCTTTGAATTCAGACCAAGTCCATGACTACGAAACAAGCATTCTAGAGTTAACACCGGCAGGTGGATAACTAACTACCTGTGTTTTTACCTCTCTGGAATAGAAAAATATACTGTACTTGGAGGAAAGTGTTCAAAGTCTTAACTAAGTCAAATAGGTGTGACACAAGGAGCTGTTCTTTCCTCTTTTCTTACCTCCCTTTTTCTACATAACCTGCCACCTTCTACAGAAAATACTTTTGTTAAGTATGCAGACGATCTCAGTGTATGCGCACTGACTTATGTCTCCTCAAATCTCTTGAAAATGAATGAATTCTAGTC